TGACCTCGCCAATGCAGGCCCCGTGCCTCCGTCCCCACCCCCTCACCAGAAGAAGAGAGGAAGACACCACCTGCGCCCCGTCTCCTTCAGCCTGCCCCCCAGAGTCTTGAAGTCCCTCATAATGCGGTCAGGGTTGCCTCTTGCCGCGTCGTTCGTACCCACATGGACAACAACCAAGGGGTACCGGTCTGCAGGCCGGATGTAGGCCGGGATCCTCTCCGTGATGTCCCTGATCAGGGATGGGTTGGCTGTTTGGCTCTGCTTGGGAGTCTTCAGCAGTCTGGGGAGCCTACAGAGCATGCTGGGAGGTGTGCAAGACTCCCCTCTACCTTCTGTGTTCATACCATGCAGGCAGGCTCTGATCCCTCGCCCACCCCTACAAGGGTTAATGAGTGCTCTGATTCCTTCCAACCTAAACAGGGATGCTTAGAGTAAAGCTCAAAAGTTAGAGTGCTTCTGCCGTGGGCTTCTTGAATGCCTGTACTTAGTCTCTGTGACTAACTTTGAGGTGCACACCTGAATGGATATAATTTAGTGTGAAAATTCAGTTATCTCATCTAGATTAGTTTGTCTGCTACTATCATTACCAAGGGCACATTCATTTCCCCAGATAATGCAAGCTAAAGAATCCATCTAGTTATTGAAAATAATGGACCAGGAAAAATATGTACACTGTTGCTATATGTCCTGAAACCTAAATTGCCTAGAGCAACTCTGATTTCAAGCTTGTGACTCATCTATACTCAAGCCATAGAAATTCCAGAGGGCAAATTGTTAAATAATGCATTAGTGGTATAATTTCATTGTATATATCATTAGTAAAATGCTTCAGGAAGCAGGGGAAAAAAAACCCAGTCCTTTTTTCCTTGCAACATTTCCTTTTTTTTAATTGTCACATCCAAGGGGTTAATTTACAAATAATAGGAAGGCAAATATCCAACTAAGTATGATGTTGTGCTTTCTCTCTATTTAAAGTATGTGCCTCTATATATTACAGATGATATACAGAGAAAATGTCTGAGAAGTGTTTACTTGACCCATGGGAGTGATCATACTTGACCATGAGGGATCATTGCTGCTGACGACAGAAAGACAAAAGGAAGATCTGTCTTGCCACAAAATATTTCAGATGTCTTCCACCTAATAAATTTAAATTATCTTTTTGGTTTAAGGTTATTAAAGCCTTTTTTATTAGCTCTAGTACAGTATAATATTTCAGTTGGCAACCTGGTTATGCAAATAATAATCTTTTATCTACAGTTATCCATCTGTAATTAACAGTGTCAGTCACCTTATCTTGTAAACAGTCTGTTTTTTGTAAACAAATAGGGGAATTGGTGCAAATGTGTCTATGTATGGTAGTGAGCCAATATATCAGTTTTGCTGCAATTTAAAGCCTGCAATTTCATGCTTAGCACTTGGCATTGTAACCATGGTTATCTTCAGTTAGATACAGGATCCAGAGGCATCAAGTGGACAGGTTTTTTTTCTCCCTCATGCTTCTCATAGACAACTGGAACACAGAAAGGGGGTGGAACTGAATGATTATGGGTAAATAAAATGTATGCATTTATCTTTATTTTTCATGTCTCAGTTTTTGGATTTTTTTGGGATGGCAGCAAGCCAGAGGAAGTGTGACTCATAAGTATGAACACAGTCCTGGAAGGGAGGGTACCCTCAATTCCTGCCCCTGCTGCTACCCCCACTTGTGTCTTTTTTTACATGTTATAGTCATTGGGTAAACAGTCATGGTGACCAGAAGCCAGAGTCCCCTCCCTCCTAGAGCAGAGTCCAGGTGCTTGCTCACATCCAGGCTCCATCTATTTTTCCATCGAGGTGACCCATGGGCCAGCTTCAACAGGAGAGGTGGAGTTTGTTCTTGGTAATGCCTAACTCATGAGTCAGTTAGGATACTTTTCTGGGAAGTGAAGGATCAAACCCCTCTGGGGTCCTAGAACCTGGATTTCCTACTCTACAGATAAGTGCCCTAACCACTAGGCTAAGTAAAGGTGTGGAAGGGTTTTAGTCAACCTCCTCTGTCATCAAAGAAATACTAGTTATGGCTTCTCTGTGACATGTCCAGGATCAAACAGAGTGTAAGTGCAGAAGAACTTAAGGAATGAGATACTGGGGAATGCTAAAGGAAGACTATATATGCAGGGCTTATCCAGACTGATCTGTCTCCTGGCCTTCTACCCTTACCCTTTATGAAGAAACAGCCCAGTTGACAAGGATGTGTGTGTGTCGGGGGGGGGGAGAGGGG